GCTCAAACTTTCAATACACCATAAGTACATTAATATGTATTATGCATTATGCAAGTACATCAGGTTTGTAATTGTAATATACATGTAAGAAATATTAATAATAACTCACTAATAACATGTATTGATTCATTTTGAACAAATACACTCAATCTTGTTGACAAAAGGTGATAAAAATGAAGCAGGGCAGTATTACTTTTCGATATCAAGTTATGATAAATATCGTCAATTGATTCTTTTAACTGAATTATGTTATGAGACAAGTGACTGTCCGTATTAATAACTCCTTTTAATAACTAGCAAAACAATGAGAAATAAATTAAAATTAAGTTACATCTACATGTAACATAATCTACTACCTGACATTAAATTAAAATACAAAATATGGTGGTGCTGCTGTAATTTCAAAGGGACATACATGTACACGTAAATTGGCAGAGCTTATCATCATTAACTGAAATTAATTACATGTACATGTACATGTATACATGCCACATACAAATTTACTGATTTAAAGTTTGTTAAAACAAAAATAAATAACAATATTCAATAATACTAAAATAATAATAATAATAATAATAATAATTAATAATACTAAAATCTCCCCTTGTGCGACAGAGATCTAAGTAAGATATTGTCTCCTTCTCTAATTTTTAGTATATTAAATTTTAGTATATTACTTATTAAGAAGCTGTAAACGGGGACATTGATATGATCAATTGTGGTGAAAGTTCAATGATAATTTGGACACTGAACTAGTCCATTACACTACAGTACATCTAATAGTCTTAACTTAATTACATGTAAATGAAACTAGTCCAACCACCCTCAACCTCACAACCACCAGATGACTATACTTACAGTAAATAGCTGAAAATGATCTAATGAACAATATTCTAACTAGCCAGTACAAGCCAGCAAGTAACTTTCTTTCATCTTGATCCACTGATGATGAAGAAGAATTCTTCCTAACGTTAAAATCTTTTGAAGACTCTTCCTTTGATTGCCTTGTTCCCCGTCTAGCTCCGTATACCTAGATTTACTTTCGTATACTCTAAACTCGTGTTATCACGTGGAATGAATCGAGATTGATAGGCTTACCTCTGTACCTCCATATAAAGATAAGTCCACCTCATAATAGCAGCAGGAGGAGGAGAGGGCTAATCTGATGAACATTTTTCCTCAGAAGAGGAAGATTCAAGTGAATCACAGCATTTTGTACTGTCCTCCATCTTTTAAGGAGGAGCTATGTCAACCAGCCCCACCTTGTTGTTTGAAATTTGCTGTGCTCTGCTTTTACTTCTCCTCTTACCTTTACCTCTCCTTTTACCTTGTATACAATACTTAAACTAGTTTCAAATGGCTTCAAAACCATCACATTTCCCATTAGGTGAGTCAGATTATTTATAATACACTGATATACATATTTTGTGTACAGATATTAGCAAGTTAAACTTTGTCTTACAAGTCTTGAAGCACTACAAATTTCCTGAAGCAAGATGGTTTAAATTTGGATTGAATCTTGGTCTCCTTCATCCTACACTGAAAGCTATTGAGTCAGCTAATAAGGAAGATCCTGCAAATTGCCTGATGGAATGTTTAGCCAAGTGGTTGACTGAAGGCTCTGATCATACTCTTGTATGGCAGACACTGGCTAATGCACTCCGTGGAATGAATCTAATATCCATTTCTACTGATATTCGCAAAACAAGTAATAATGTTATTATCAAGTTTTAGCATTTATATCTTCTATTTAGTGGCAGATCCTGTTAGTGAGATATTACAGTGTTATATTAGTAGACTAGCTCAAGTTGTTCTTACTGAGGAATCAGTTGATCTCTTACATACAGAGGGATTGATATCTAAGGATACATTAACAGAAGTGAAGAGTTGCGGTTGTTCATTGCTAGGAGATCCAATGTTACTAATATTAAGTGGTGTAGCTGAAGATCATAGCAAGTTATGTACTCTGACAAGCATTCTAATGAAATCAAAGGAAGCAGTGTCTTTAGCTAG